ATCTAATTGTAGGGATATTTCTATAATTTTAAAAATATCATTGCACCCCTTTATAATTTATCACGAGTTTCACCTATTGCCGCTACGGTCACCACCGTTATTGACATGTAATAGAATAATTCATGTCATGACCTTTTTTTTTTTGTAGTGAAATGTCAATTTCATCAATTTAATACTAAATTAATATTTAATTTCATCACATTCAAATTCAATTTCATCAAAATTAATATTTTAAAATTTAACTTTGTCAAATTAACATTTAATTTATTTAATTTAGAATTTAGTTTCATCAAATTAACATCAAATTGAGCTTCAATTTCATCAAATTGACATTTAATTTCATTAATTCAAATATTAATTTCATCACACTAACATTAATTTCATTAATTTAATACAAAATTAATATTTTATTTTATTAAGTTAATATTTTAATTTTTAATTTTTCAAATTTAATATTACTTTGATGTTAAATAGATAAAATTAGTGTTCGTGTGATAAAATTAATATTCAAATTAATAAAATTAAATGTAAATTTGATGAAATTAAGATTTAATTTGATGTTGATTTGATAAAATTAAATTAGAAAAAATAAATTTTAAAATATTAATTTGATTAAATTAAATATTAATATGGTATTTAATTAATGAGATTAGTGTTAGTGTAATAAAATTAATATTTGAATTAATAAAATTAGATATCAATTTGATGAAATTAGAGAGTGTGTAGGTTAATTGAGAAACCGTAAGGGGTTAAAGAGTAAACAAAAAAAATCAATAGAGTTGAAGTCTTGAAGAGTAATTCAATAAAATTATAATCTATATTTAGTTATTTAACCGACATAATCTCATAGAGGTGACAATAATATTTCAAAAATTATTGAAGGTGTCTTTGCAATTAGGTCAATCTCGACCATGGTCGGTGAAATTTACTCATTATAGAATACAGCCGGGCGTGTTGGGCACTAATTATTATTTTTTACGCAAACGAAATAATGTATGCACTAGCCAACAAGATTTGACAAGTAAGCGCAGCCCTGGACGCTAATGGGCATACTTTATTTGTTTGGTGCTTCAAAATGGATACAACTTCTGTAAGAGGTAGAAATTACTACGGATCTCATCTCTCCACTTGAAGGATTTTAGTTGATTTGGCGGCACCGAACCCCAGTAGCGGATACGTCCTCCATAGAAAGTGTTCACTTATATGGCAGGGGGGAAGACGACTCTCTTCTGATGTGGGATTGCCTTAGGAAATGATCCTATTGGCGAAGAGAGGTAAAGACTACTGGGGCTCGGTGCCGCCAGGTCAGCCGGAGTCTTTCAAGTGGAGGGATGAGATCCGTAGCGATTTCTACCCCTTACAACTTCATTCTTTGTTATATCTCTGACCTTTTAACTTAAATATTTCATTTACGACTAAGTAGGATGATGTAGTGGGTTATCGATTTTACTCATCATTTTAAGATTTGGTATTTGAGTCTTGGAGTGTTTATTCAGATTTGGTGGTTAGCCGCTATGCTAGCCTAATTAGGTCTGGTCTTGAGAGGTGTTTCAGACACGGTCAGGGGCTTTATGATCCCACCCGTGAGGGCCTATGGGAGTAGTCGTTGGACACACTTCTTTGCCCTCACCCCTTTTTTTCATAAGCCAAAAAAAAAAAAAAAACTTAATATTCCATGTGCATCGGTTATAGTTAGAGGTCTCATAATCCTATCAATGATCACTTATCAGAATAGTCTTAAGACGCTCTCCTTTCTGCCCATTTTATTTTTCAATAGCCAAAAAATAAAAAAAAAAATTAATATCAGAAGAATTATATCAGGTCACTTGTTCTGACTTGAAAAAGTATGGTCAATGGTGTCATTGGGTCCTTGGATCGTATTTGAACTAAGAAGCTTACATGAAACCAAACACAAACACCTCCCCCCACCCTTTGGAAAAGAAAATATTGAGCGCAACCATTATGTCAAATTAATAGTATTACGTGGTGTAACGATTCAATAATAGGTAAATAAGTCAGTAAATGGACCTCATTAAAACTAATAGCTACCTAGTCGTATAATACATAACCAATATCATCATAGAAAGTGTGCCCTATTTTATTATTTTTGCTCTTTTCTTACTGGATCACAGCAACATTGTTTGTTTAAAAATTATCATCGTCTTCCCTATATTTTTAGAATAATTTATTGTTAATGTCTACCTTTTTAAAATATTCAATGATTTAATATTTAGTAACTATTTAGAATCTAATCATATAGAAGAGTGTCACTTATATTGACAAATACACTTATTGGATTATTTTGATGACCGTAGACAAAAAAAAAATAATTTAAAAAAAAAAAAATTAGGGATATAAATATGGTTTATATCAAAAGTAGTTTATTTACTTATAAAAATTTATCATTAACAATGACGGTCGAATAATCTCATTGAATTAATTTTTTGTTTATATTATTGTTAACCTTTTAAGATAAAATTTTGATTCCGTCCCTCATTTTATTAGAAGTTCTTGCCATTCTCAAATTGGTTTGTGCACAGCCCTCTTTATATTTTTGGTCTGGGTTTGTCCACAGGCCGAAATGAAGCTGGATTTGGTGAAAATGATATGTATACATTACAAACACCTGACTAAAAGGTGAAAAGGTTGATTTCAAAAAGTGGTATATGTTTCAAATCCGTGTTTCTCTCTCTCTCTCTCTCTCTCTATTTGAGGACGGTTTTAATGGTCAAAAACAGTGACTTTATATAATATAAGTCCAACTTGAATTTCTTTTCCTTCACCCAAACTCCTAAAGTCGTTCCTCTAGCTGGGACCCATGAGAGTCTGAAAAAATGACTGCTTTTAAGGGGGTAAATTATACTAATAGCTCCTGAAGTTTATCACTTATCACACTTTAATCCTTAAAATTTTAATTTCGTCAATTTCATTTTCAAAGTTCAAATATTGAGTCAATTTGGCCATTGTCACTACCTACCATCACAAAAATAGATAGAAAATACCATATGCACGTCAAGTTCAGGTTCTAAAAGGTATTTCTAGTAGTTTATAACAATCTATGCATCCAACCAATATTATTCTGTATCTAAACAAATATTAAACACGTGCCATGATTAGGCACGTGTTAGAAGAAATCACTTGACTTGCATGTGAGCAGGATCTAGAATGGAGCATCCAAACTGCTCATCAGTATTGCTTGTGCCAAAACCCGTGAGGATAGCTCAAACCAGCTGAGATATTTGAGGAAGAGGTTTCACCTTCCCTGCCACCCAAATTGAAAAGCAGCCATTGGAGCTCCAAAAGTAATAGAAGCTCGACTATAAAAAGTAAGGAGGTAACTTACCATCAGGTAAGTAATTACTCCCAATTGAATACACTTTTACAATCTAATTCTCTTTACTAACCTAATTATCAAAGGTCGATCGTCGGAGCCACCCTTCAGTCCTTGACTTTTGTGCAGGCAATCCGTAGGTGAGTGCCACCTCATCAAATACATTTCAAAGCTATTTTCAAGATCAATAATCAAAACCCAAATTAAAACCACAAAATTATAATTGAAATCAAAAGCACAACCGAAATCAAAATTGAAAATGCAATCGCCTCTGCTATTGATATTAAAATCAAAATCTATGTGGGAAAAGAGTGAGAGAAAGACGAAAAAGAGAAAAAGAGAGGCCATGAGATTGATGGTTGATGGGTTTTTGATTTAGATGATTTTTGGTGGTGGAGGTATGCTTGCGGCGTTGGTAATGGGCAAGAGAACCATGGGGAGGGTTGGGTTCAAGTGGGTTTCAACGATGGGAATGGGGAATCAGATCTAACCTGTTAGTCCATTATTGAGAGTTTAATTATTATTTTTTTATTGGTGAATAGAGATAAAGACTAAAGTCGGGTCAATGTGTTAACATGAATAACAAAATTGACAAAATTAGAATTTAAAGAACAAAAATGTAATAAGTGACAAACCTTAGAGACTAACGGTGTAATTTACCCTTTAAGAGCATTCACGATGTCATATGTTGATCGGGGATACAAAAACAGTCATATTTGAGTACTAGGGTTATTCTGTGTCTAAAAGTACGTTGTAATGTGAATGATTTTGAGAGAGATGTTGATAACCGTTAAATGAATCTATTCGAGACCATTAGATAGACTTATTGAAGTCTATCCTGTTTTATATTATATATTATTATTTAAACAAGGGTAAGACTATTATTATCAATACATGAGGGGTTGATATGTTATTTAGACAAAACTCAGGAAAGTAACTATAACCAACTCATTGAATAAAATTTAAATGAGTGATATTGTGGAGAAATAATTCCGGGGACTAAGGGCATATTGATCATTTAACAATCCAGGGGCATTTTGGGCATGCCACGTTTTCATCACATGATTCCCCTGCCTAAGGAGTTGATGCTTTTGAGATCCTTGTTTTTTCTCTCCGACTGTTTTCTTCCCACTTTCCTCTCTTCCCTTCCTTTTTCACGTTTTCTCACGGAAGAAAAATTTCTAATTAATTTTTTCTGGACAACAATTGGGATATTAAAGAATATTGTTAATTCTTTTGATTAAAGTCCTAACCATTCGTAAAACATCTCTAATTATGACTAAAATTTAAATAAAAAACTTTATTTAATACAATAAATTTTGATGGATAAATTCAAATTTAAAGTAGGAGAAATTTAAATTTAAATAAAAATAAATTTAAATTTTAAAGAGAATAAAAATGACTATTGAATATTTAAAAGATGTTAAAATCTCACTATTTATTTGAATGAAAAAATGAATATTTCTTAATTTTATATAAGTTTGATTCAAAAGTTAAAGTAAGTTTTTTTACTTAAATTTAAATTTGAGTATTTGTATCAGAATTAGACATCTTTTATACACCAAGATTTTTCATTCCATTTTCTTCCTTAATTTTCATTACAAATTCTGTCTTATTATTTTTTTTTTTCTTCGTCAGAATAAGGGTTTTGCTTCTTCACTGCGATATATATATAAAACTGATATTTGTATCTGATACCCAAAACCTGTCTCAGAAAGCAATCTTCTCCTCCTTACCTTATCCCTCTCTTCGTCTCTGTATCTCTCATGTTCTCGTAAAAACCAGAACTTTGTGTTTCTGTAGGTACTTGTAGAGATAGAGAGGGAGGTAAAAAATGCAAGCAGTTCTACGGACAAAAGGGCTTCTCTCTCTACCTTCAAACCCCAAACCCAGGGGTTTCAACCCACCACCACAGGGGCTCAGCCATAGATTCAGTCCCTTAAATCCCTTAAAACCCAAAAATCTTTCTGGGTTTTCATTATCTCTCGATGGTTGCCAAAAATTCCATGGCTTTGTCACCAAACCTCATGTCATTGGGCAAAAGAACAGGACTTTTCATATATGCAAGGCTAAGGCTGCAGCAGCAGCTGATGGACAGCCTGTATTTGGAGAAATTGAGTCACCCAAGTTCATGGGCATTGAAATTACAACCCTCAAGAAGATTATACCACTTGGGTTGATGTTCTTTTGTATACTCTTCAATTACACAATTCTTAGAGACACCAAAGATGTATTGGTTGTTACAGCTAAAGGGTCAAGTGCTGAGATTATACCCTTCTTGAAAACTTGGGTCAATTTGCCTATGGCTATTGGGTTTATGCTGCTGTATACAAAATTGGCTAATGTGTTGTCAAAGCAGGCTCTTTTCTATACTGTTATTGTACCCTTTATTGGCTTTTTTGGGGCATTTGGTTTTGTTTTGTATCCTCTCAGCAATTATTTCCACCCCACGGCTCTTGCTGATAAGCTTCTAGCCATGCTTGGTCCTAGATTCCTTGGCCCGCTTGCAATCATGAGGATCTGGAGTTTCTGTTTGTTCTATGTCATGGCTGAGCTTTGGGGTAGCGTGGTTGTATCAGTGCTATTTTGGGGACTTGCTAATCAGGTGATAGTCTTATCAGCTAAAGTATTAGTTTTAATTTGATCTGTCTGTGTGATTCTTAAAATTTATATTCGATTCCTTAGTTCTTTGATCTATGTCAGGAGATTCTTAGTGTTTTCCCTTATTTCATATGGTTTAAAAGCTATGGTATATCCATAATTTGATCCGATTTACTGATTTTAGTATTTATATATGTATGCCTTTTCCTGAATTGCTCACTCTATTTATGACTTTGGTAACTTCATAACATTTATTTGCTTCTTATTCTTGAATGTAAAAATGTTGTATATGAACTTTCAAACAGGATGGAAAGTTTAACTTCATCACTGTGTATAGATCGTAAAGAAATTAGATTAAAAATAGATGTTTTAAGAATTCTATCCTCAAGAAAGAGGACAATAGTGGTATGTTGAAAAGTATGACGCCGTTGGTGGAGGGTTTTTTTTACTATTAATTATGTCTTCTACTGTGTTTTTTGTCTGTGCTATTTAATATTACCGCAAACCCTTTTGGGATGTCATCTCTAATACTTGGAGATAATGTTTACAAACATTGTTTGAAGTGATGCTTTTGTGATTTACACAGTTTTTTTTCGCAAGGTAGTGAGTTACGCATTTTGTTCTTTGATTATGGTGCAAGAACATGTATACGAGCAGTACTGTCACTGTGGCATAGAGTCGTAGAGATACATGAACATTTGATGAGACTGATTTTGTTCTTTGCATAACTGGTGAGAATGCCTTTGGGTGTCATCGTGGTAAAATTAGTTTTAGTTAAACAAATTTGGGACACTTTTGTTTTGATTAGGAGACTATGTGAATCTTGTATCATCAACCAAGTGCAGGTAAATTTTCCTATTCGTCAGGATCTTACATTCTTTCATTTCAGATAATTGTCTTACAAATTGTTAGATTCCTAATTCTTGTTTTGCCTCCATCATCATCTTGACAACCACATGGGACGAATTGTGGAGGCCTTTACATGTTTTAGCTATACAGTTTTTCTCACTGTTGAAGTTTTGTGAGAGATTCTTCGACTCCGTTAGATTCTTGGTCTGAAGACTTTGAACATGCACTTCCCTGATTTTTTTTAGTCTATTGTTTTGTGTGGAACTGCTAATTAGCTGTCATTATATGCTCTCTGTTGCAGATAACTACAGTTGAGGAAGCCAAAAGATTCTATCCTCTGTTTGGACTTGGAGCTAATGTTGCCCTCATTTTCTCTGGTCGTACTGTAAAGTACTTTTCTAATATGAGGAAAAATTTGGGTCCTGGTGTTGATGGTTGGGCCATATCCCTGAAAGCTATGATGAGCATTGTGGTGCTTATGGGGCTCACAATATGTGCTCTTTATTGGTGGGTGAATCAGAATGCCCCTCTTCCAACTCGTAGTAAGAAGAAGAAGGTAAGCTGCTCTGAGGATATGCTGTCTCTTGCTTATTGTAACTCAACTCTTAAACTGACTTTAGTTTCAATGGCAGTCCATTCTTTGGTTATGAGGAAGCCAGAAATTGTAACTTTAGTGCCCAGAAATATCAGTTCTAATGGGAAAAAAAAACAATCTTTCACTAACCTTTTTCTATTGTCCATGAGTCAAGCTGACTTAATCCTATCATCCCACTGCATCAAGGAAATTCTAATCGTAATATGATGGTTGGCGTAACAGAACATTTATGCTTTGGCAGGAAAAACCAAAAATGGGGACAATGGAGAGCTTGAAATTCTTGGTGTCTAAAAGATACATCAGGGATCTTGCCACTTTGGTGGTAGCATATGGTATTAGCATCAACCTTGTTGAGGTTACATGGAAATCGAAGCTCAAAGCTCAGGTAAAACTAAATTAAGCCTATGCATTCTACAATTTATTCTGCTCCCAGTTTTTTTGTTAATTTCTCACCCCCTCCCTTAATTGTGCAGTTTCCAAGCCCAAATGAGTACTCTTCCTTCATGGGTGACTTCTCGACGGCTACTGGAATAGCAACTTTCACAATGATGTTGCTAAGCCAATGGATTTTTGACAAATATGGGTGGGGAACGGCAGCCAAAATTACACCCACAGTCCTACTGCTCACAGGAGTGGGTTTCTTCTCTCTAATTTTGTTTGGTGATCCGCTTGCACCTGTTCTCACAAAGTTTGGGATGACTCCACTTTTAGCAGCTGTATATGTGGGTGCAATGCAAAATATCTTCAGCAAGAGTGCCAAGTACAGTTTGTTTGATCCTTGCAAGGAAATGGCTTATATTCCTTTGGATGAGGACACCAAGGTTTGAAATTTAACTTGCCATTCAGTTTTAGATTGGAGTTTTTTTCATATATTAGTTGTGCTTGAAATAAATTGAAATCTCTGTACTTGATTTTTTTTAAACATAAACGAGATGCACAAAACTTCACGTTTAAACTTGAGATTGCAATCGACCAACTTCAAATTTTCTTCTCAGAGCTGTTCCTTTTTGCCCTTTAAATTTGACCTTAGTCCATTCATTTCTTGGGTCAGGTTAAAGGGAAGGCTGCTATTGATGTTGTCTGCAACCCGTTGGGGAAGTCTGGAGGCGCTTTAATTCAGCAGTTTATGATCCTAACTTTTGGGTCACTCGCAAACTCAACTCCATACCTTGGAGGTGTACTTCTTGTGATTGTTCTTGCATGGTTAGGGGCTGCCAGGTCTTTGGATACCCAGTTCACTGCATTGCGGCGAGAGGAAGAGATTGAGAAGGAGATGGAAATAGCAGCTGTGAAAATCCCAGTCGTGGCTGAAAACGAAAATGGAAATGGATCACTTGTAGGTGGCTCAGCCCTGAATCCAACTGGGGGTGATTCAACCACCACTTCATCCGAAACTTCATCTCCTCGCAATGCATGATGAAAATGTTCCATTACTCACAGAAAAAGGAGGAATGAGCAAAAGATTACTAGAAGGATTTATCAGGTGGTTTGTTGGTTTTAGGATTGTACGATCTATAGAAAAATTCCTGGTAGTAGGTTTTTTTTTCCTTTGATTTACAAAATAATCAGAACCCAAGCAGTTTTTCTGTATCATTTGATTGTCCCTGATGAATCAAGATTATTACTTTCATTCATTCTTCCTGATAGATTAATCAGTATCTTGATTGTATCAGCCAGTAAAGCATTTTTAAAGCATGTTTGGTTGTGAGAGTTGTTACAGAAGTTATAGGTGGTGCAATTGTTTCTTATGGAGCTCGTCTGATTTGGTTGGGAAGTTACTGACATTCATATAACACTATCCAGTATAAGTTGCAGATCCACATCGTATCTTGTATCTAATCTTCATCCTGATTAAGCTAAAAATGCAAAGCCCTTGCTTTTCATTATGCCCATGTCCTAATCCGTGTTGGCAAATGTTCATATTTGTCTTTAGCAAGTCATCCTAGTCCTAAAGCTTCCCATTCCAACCGATTTGTGTCTATTGGTAAGTTGGCTACGTCGTAGAAGAGCTGAAACTGCACTTTCTGATCAAACAAGAAGCTGTAATTGCATATGACACAATCCATATTATACACACAAATTGAGCAAAAAAAACCTTAAATTGCACACTCTTATTCAGCTAAAAGAGTGAGAGAGAGCAAACACTCTTTTAACTAAAAATGAAAACTGAAGAGAATAGAATGCATAGACACACTGTAATTACATCTTCACTGCTTTTTTAATTGTCTTGATAGATGATTTGAAGAAGTTGATTCCCGCTGCACGATCTTCATTGCCTCCATCATCATCAATTACCAAGGGCTTCTTCCCTTTGTGATCTCCCTTTCTTATACCTAAGAACACAGATGGAGAAGATGGGATTCGTGGGAATGACCTGGCACTTTCAGACCTCACAAGGCCCTTTTCCTTCCCGCTCTTCTCCCTTCTCTCTTTTCCTTCAAAGCTGTTACTACTTCCCACACCTTTACCCACAGAAGTGACCTCCTTTGCATTACTTTTCCCTGGAAATATTCGGTAGGGAGGGTTCTTTAAGGGTGTTTTTCTAGCTTCAATATCAACAATTTCTTCTTTTCTTCCCTCACCATCTTTTTCTGGGGTCATTTGCTGGTTGTTTAAGAGTGCCACAGCTTCCATCTCAACAATCTCTTCTTTCTGTTTCCCACCGTTATTCTTCTCTTGTATTGTTTGCTGGTTGTTTTCCTCAAGATCCTGTTTCACACCTTTGTCTTCCGATTCTGGAAATTTTAAAATTTCATTCTCATTTCGCGGGTATTTGAGATTCATCTTTCTGATTATTTCATCAGTCCTGCTAGTTTCATTTTCCTCAACTAGTTGAGGAATTTGGTCAGTGCCTTCTTGTGTATTCTCCAACAGCATTTGAAGCCACTTCTCTACATTTCCTTTCCCACGCTGCTTTCTGCTTTCTTCATCCTCCACTGGTTCTGGTTGATGAAGGGCCGGAAATTGAATGTTGTATATATTGCCTTCTAATTCCAACTTTTGAAAATTTTCCTTTATTTTGTTTTCATCCTTCTCAGTATCCCTGGATTTACCGTTCTCATCAGGCTTACCTCTGCTAATATCGGTCGGTGCCCCTTTCCCTCTCTCTTCTATTTCTTCTTGCTCTTGCTGTTCATTTGGAGATAGGCCTGCTTCAGATGCTTTATGCTCCTCTTCCAAGAACACTCTCAATTCCTTGTGTAATGGGGTAATCGACTTGATTCCAGGTAAAAACAGGACAGTCTTACCATCTTTCTTTCCCATTGTAGGATCATCTGTTGCCTTATGTAGATGTGTTCTTGGCTTGCTTGCTGGCAAATATAAAACTGTCCTGTCATCTTTCTCTTCGAATAAGAAATCATCCATTCTGGATCTCTTCCTTGCTTGCTCCCATTCGGGTCTTATCTGTTTCTCAAGCTCATCCCTTTGTTTAAACTTTGTGTGGAGTTCTCTCTCTGAGGAATCGCAAATTGCCTTCTGAGCTTCAAGTCTTGCGATGAGAGCATTGGATGCTGCCTGATTCAACCTCAATTGTTCCTTATAAATGACACTCCTGCAAGAAAAATTGTAGCAATAATCAAATTACTGAATTCCACCACAAACTGTCATTGATCAGTATTCTGACACAAAACATGGCTTTTATAATCATACTGGTGCATGGCGTCTCGAATCATCTTTTCCAGGATTGCTCTATATGAGGATTGTGACTCTGCTAGCCTGCGATGCTTTTCAGCATGTCTTCTTCGTTTTATAAGCACCAACTCCAAGTCTTGGATGGTAAGTTTCTCCTCTTCTGTCTTTTGCTTCAACTCACTCACTTCATCATCCAATTTCTGAATTTCTGCCTGCATCTTAGCTGTTCCTTCTCTTTGTCTGAGAGAATCTCTAGCCATGACAATGGCCTGATAAGGGTTGCTAACCATGTCTGGGTCTTCGTTTTCTTTTGACGCACCTGCTTTTAATTTTCTTGCAGCTGCCACAACCATTTGAAAACAACAGAAAATAAGAAAAAATTTGTGGCCAGTCAAGTTTCAAACAGTTCTCAAACAGATTCAAGTATTTGATCTTCTTTACAAACCTAATATAGGGGAGTTCGACCTTGGCCTTCTGTTGATATCCAGGGATTTCAAAGCTGATGAAGAATCATAAGATTCCCTTCGAGATAGAACAATGGCAGCCGGAGCAAGGCCTAATTTTTCTTTTGCTTCACTAAAATGTCGAGGGAAATTATGCGAGTTTGCTGTTTGTGAATCATTCAGTTCTTCACTTTCACCATCTGAAAACAACAATGAAAATGCCCTCTGCCTGCCAAATTGTGAAAAAAAAAAAAAAAAAAAAATCACCCACTACAACTGTGTATCTCGAATAAAAAAGTAATCAGAGGATAGGAAAAGAAAATGCCCAACCTGAAATCTGAGTTTGAAGAACTAAAAATGGACAAGAACTGGTTTACTGATATACCCACTTGGAGATCCCACCATGGAATGAGAAATTCCAGCGTGTTATGCTTCTTCTTGCACACTTGCCACTGTAGTATCCTTAGATTGCTTGGTACAGTCAGTCCTCCCCCTGCATTTCCAACATAAAAGGAACCAAAAAGTCACTAGTACTACGATACAGACAGAGACAAGGATCACGATCTCTTCCGTTACACTTACTTTCAATTTCACATAATGGTAGATCACTCGGTGAGTATGGTTGAAGAGCCACTTATAAATAGTGTGTCTCACTTGAGCACTTGATAGGTGATTTACCATTGGGAGAAATTGAGTGAAAGTACAATAGGGAGGATCTCAACCTCGGAGAGATTTATAGATATTGATAGATAGAATTCATATTTACTTGAGCAAGGGAACCAGTGATCAATGTCCCAAGCAAGAGGCGAAGCTGAATCGGCATGGTAATAAAGAACATTGCCATTTGGGTCTACTCGAAAAATCACAGGATCAAACCCAGCATTCCTAAAATTCCAAAAAGCCATAAGAGTTAGAAGCTGATTTATTACAATTTCTTCCACTCTAGAAGCTCTACATCACAATTTGATTGCTTACCCGAGATGGTTGAGTTGCTTCCACAGAAGACTTGCATAAATCTTGGGCTTGGCAGTGGGTTTTGCTTTTGGATCTATAATTGGGAACATCTCATCTAATTCCTTTGCCCTGCAAACCTACAACAAGGTAGGTCTACGGCAGTCAACAAAGAATAAACAAAGTTTTCTATGGATTCAATTTCCAGTCAAGCCACCGGTAATTTGTGTTTGGTTGGTGAAAAAAAGTTTCGGCAAAGAAAATAAATAAGCCTGAACTTCAATTTCTACAAGTATCAGAATGCAGAAGCTGAAGAAGAGAGTCAGAGACAGAGCTGTTTAACACTATCCAAACATCAAATTCAGGACTCAGCAAAGTAGAATTTGCATATCAATTCAGTAAAACTTAAGATCTGGAAAATAGAGGTCAAACAAATCCCCTGATCAATAAAATTTTACGCCATCTGGCGAGAAATTCAAACTCGTGAAGGCAGTATAGTTAATCAAACACTCAAAGACCGGAAAATACCCATGAAATTCAAAGAAATGTCAGACTTGAAAGCATAAAAAGAATCAAACCCTCGGTTTGTTTGCTGTGAAAAAAATGTAATAAGCAAAAACGACCCAAGAAACCAAAACATCATGTTCTTCATGTTCGGTGAACATATGTCTTCGGTGAACTTGAATTCTTCATGTTCTGAAAATTCTGACTACGCCACAACACAAAACTCAAATTCTCATTTTCCCGTCATTTTCCTCCTTTTTTCCCAGCAACCAAACATACTGTCAATCATCAATTTAGGGATTTTCTCTTACCTCTTCTTGTGGAAGAGCATAGGGAGTGAAAGTGAAAGGAGGGCCATTGCTGTACGGACCGAAGCTGCGGTCTCTACACAGCTTTGCGTAGGCTTTCGGGTACCCAAGCCCTTCATCAATTGCCATTTCTTCATTCGTGAACACGAGATCGGCCGCCATTGTCGAAATTTATGGCTCCCCGATAAGGAAATATGTAAACGAGAGCAGATCAACTGAATCAGCTGAGAGAGGGAGAGAGAGAGAGAGGTTTCTTAATGAGGAAGATGATTCCAACGGTCGTTTCATTTTTAAAAAGTTTTTAGAATTATTCTTATTTCAAATTTAAATGCCAGGGTGGCAACATTGGGGTTGTAACGGCTACTATATAAGCTTGACGTACAAAACAACCATAAAATTACATGTCTTTCTCACCAAAGTCTTGCTTTGTTGAAAGATTAAGTTGACCAATGGAGGAAATTAATCAACGGGAAGCAAATTAGTGGTAATAAAAAGGAGAAATTAAGGGTAACTTGTCATGAAATTGAAAGAATTTGACACATCAACAATTCAAAAACTAAAGAGCAATGATTTCACCATCATTTTAGTTTGAACAAGTGAGCATTAATAAGCAATAAAAGCCATGCAAAAGTCCCTTTTTGAGCATGAGTATATCCCCCAACGGCCAAAGCCAATTTGGTCCTAGTAGCCCCACCCATACAATTGGCTTCCATTTTGTTCAAGAAAGGAGGAGTCCTTGGTTGGATGAGTTTGATTGATTATTACTTTTGCTTTTTGTTTGCTAATGTCAAAATAAGGAAAAAAAAAGACACAACAATCAATTCACAGAATCATCCAACAAACTAAAAGATGAAATCAAACACTATCTTCAA